GTTTAAATAGGAAATAAATCTGACAATTTTAAGGGAACAATTTAGTGGAATTCCAGCTGTGTATATGGAAATTCGCTTAGTCTGCAGGTTTGCTGCGGCGGGGGTATTATAAGTATAGATTGTCTGGTGCATCAGCTGTTTCGTGTCAAAATAATGAATGTCAAAGATTTGTGATTTTAAAAAAATGTTACAGTACAGTTTTGTAAATCATGGTAACTTATTCTCAACTAAATTTTACTATTCCCAGCATTAAAATAAAGTAGTATGATCCATTATTAGTACACTTTAAGGTACCCAAAACATGATTTAACTTTACTATACATTATCAGTCATAATAAACACCAATTTCTTATGTAGTAGACTTTGACTATTTTCAACTAAAAACATATGTTTTTATAAATAAAAATTATCTCCCATGTTATCCTTATGGAGAAAAAACTGACTTAAAGGGCCTCTGACGACCTTGCCAACAACTTTATCAAAAATCTAAAACTACACGTTTTAACCTTTATTTTGAGACCCCAAACGTCAAAATCGGGCGAATAATAACGGAGGAGTTTGATTAACAAAAAACGGCTTAGCCTATTATATATATGGAAGATAGAAGATAGAAGAGAAGATTATTTTGAGTCCTTGTCTTCAAGCTATTTTTTAGTTTAGTGACAAAATCCAATTAAAATTGAATCTTATCAGGCGTAAGAGTAGACTGAAAGACAAATAGCTGGATTTCAGAAACCCAATATTTCATTGTTCTCACAAAAACACAATTGAATATGAAATGGTTGTGAAATCTCATAATTTATTTGGAGGGCTGAACAGAAGTCTTCCTACAGGTTTTAACTGGTTTTGACGCATTTGGTGCAATTTAAAGCAGCTCATTCTCAAGTTTTACATACCTTAGGCCCAATTCACACCGAACGGACGTCGGGCGGAGACGTGGCACGGACGAGGCACAGATGTGGCAGTGACGTGGCGTGTTCAATGCACACCGAAGAGACGGTACAGTGGCGAGACAACCTGTATGTAGACTAGACGCTTTGGTTTTTGCTAATTTCTATTAATGTTAATGGTGTTAGTTAATTTCTTTCAACTTAATTAGTACAAACAAGGGAATTGTTCTACTTCCTCACAAAATTTGATATTAAATTCAATGTCATCTCACATATTGAAGAAACAACTCACAATCTACACACAAAAACAACTCTACACAACAAGGTTGGTAAGTACAAGCACACTATACACAAGAAGTTTGGTAAGTATAGTACAATATTTGCAGTCCGAACAACGGGCGCGCTACGGACATGCCACTTCCGATACGCCACGAGGGACGCTGAAGCGACGTGGCGGTGGCGAGAGGGCGGCCGCCCGCGCCACGTCACTTGTGTGTGCATTGACCAATTTGTTTACATGGGGAGGCGAGGAAAGGACATATGTCCTCGCCACGTCCGTGCCACGTCTCCGCCCGACGTCCGTTCGGTGTGAATTGGGCCTTAAAATGAGTTAAATGTTTTGTAAAGGGCTTCGCCCCTGTGGCTCTCAAATTTGATGGACATTTGTCGGTGTGCATTTGTCGTTCCCTTAAACTGCTGTTTTTGTACTTAAACGCTTAGTAGGAAAACAATTTAAATATTCAACCCTCCCAATTTCCACTTAAAAATTAATTTACAGAATTATATGTTTTGGTCTGCATCCAGTCCTTACATTTTTGAAATCTTTGGAGTGGCAATTTTTTTTAAATGATCAGGATCTAAGCTTAAGCTTTAACATTTTGGTCCAATTCATATTGAGGTGATCTTCAAATAGTGTTATGTTAATCTATGGCTTGTAAGCTTAATTAAGTTCTTATGTCTAGTGTTGTAGGCCTACATATGGTTTGTGTGACCGTCCCTGAAAATGGGCAAGTCTTTGAGTACCCAAAATACTGCTTCTAAAATATACAGATCGTAAAATTTTAAAACTTGAAAAGACTGTTTTATATGGACTTCTTCAGGGTACTTTAGCTATAAGTCGTAGTGCCTTCTTTCCATTAATCTGATGAAATGAAAAGTTAATATTCAAGAAAAGAAAAATTTGAACAATTCCATCATTTTTAGAACTGAAATAAAAACTAAATCTAACCGGTCTGTCAACCCTGTAGAAAACTGGCAACATCGCAGGTTCAACAGTTTGGGGAAACCTACGCCCCAGTCTGTCCCCACCCCTGACACTGTCAGTCAAACTGCTCAAGATGTGATAGAAGTAAGCATCTTATAAGTTAAATACTAGGGACAGTTTAAGTATGTTGCACTTGATCATGTAAAAATTTGGCTTTATGAGCTAAGGAAACTAAAAGCTTTCTTTGTATAACAGGATGAATGAAGATATGGAGGAAGAAGAAGAAGATACAGAAAGCGATTCTGAAGAAGATGTCGACTCAGACGACGACACATGTGAATTAGAAGAAAAAAGTGAAAAAAATTGTTTACAAAGAAGAGTTTCATTTAAAGAAGAAAAGGACAGTTGTGAAAATGAACCAAGGAGTGAAAATGATGAAATTGCGATAAGAATAGTTTTCAAACATAGCGAAACAAGTGTACCAGTTCCTTCGATAAGTAGTGAAATAATGAGCCCCTCGGACATTTATACTCAATATTTAAAACAGAAAGCACCAAAGTCAATTTTGAAACCTTCCCCTGTTGTTAATAACCCACCTGATGATTTCATCAAGGACAATTCTCAAACTAATTTGACTTTTGATCAAATAGAAGATCAGCATCCCGTTTTGCATGAGGAGCCAGCTGTAAAGGTAAGTTTTTATCTGCTTGAGTTCCATCATTCATGGTCAACCACTTTAGACCACCACTTTAGGTTAAAGATTGTTAACATTCTTACTAAATGGATAGGGATCATGCAATAGCGAAAACCTGATCTACCAACTACAATGCAAACTCTGTCAAGCTCAATATATAGGCCTAACCACCCAAACTCTTATCTTAGGAAAAGGATGAATGGACATAGACAGGATGTTAAAACAAACAAATACAAACCCATTGCAATACATGCAGCAAACCACAACTTAGACTTTGATACATGTTTCACCACAAAAGCCATAAAATCCCTCCCCAAAGACCAATGTAACAGCTCCCTACTCAGAAGGTGGGAACTAGCCTACCAATACATCACTGATTCCAGAAACCCTCCTAACCTTAACATCAGATAATTCACCCAACCCTTCCCTCAGCTAGCTTCATTTTTATAAAAGTCAACCACCATATGTATATATAGGAGTGTATGTGTATATAGATGTACATAACAACAGGAATTTTCATTTAATTTTAAACAACAGTTGGCAACACTTTTGTGGAACTTGTGAATTTGAACTGTAACTGCCAGTTTTCTTTCTTCTCCCTTCTGATGAAGTCCCTAACTGGGACGAAATATTAAGTTTTTCTGTGTTGTGTCATGTGTTTTATGTGTAATCAAGGCTAATCTGGACTCTATCTACCAGGTAAGCTAGCTGATCCCTATCCTTGTACATAATAATCCTAATCAGCCAATTGGCCTTTCCTTAACTCCTATTCTTACTAAATGGTTTCATTCTTAATAAATGGTACCTTATTGGAAAACTGACACAAAGGCCTACTTTCCCCCAATAGGCACATTTTAAATTGTTGCGGACAAACGGAGGGAGTAACTTATGGATTTTTATGGGATAAATTACAAAAATTCTGATAAATTTTCAACTCTTATTTCTACAGTGTTGGGGGTTAAGCCACTTTGATCAGGGTTAAAATGACAATATCACACTATATCTTTTATCAAAACTTAAAGCCATTAATAAGAAAATCACCATACATGCCAAATATTTCATATCTTTTCTAAGGTTTCTCCAGCCTAACACTAGGAAGGTTAATTCTATAATAAAATGGGCATTGTTTTGATGTACCTTTACTGTAGTTAGAAACATTTCAATTCTTAAAACTTATCAACAATAAATTAAAGTACGATGGCAAAGCCTATTTCATTGTAGTAGTATGATGAATAGGCCCAATAAAGACTGTAACAGCTGATCTTTTGTGATTGTAGGCAGTCAGCGATCAGGTGGTGGAGAGAACAGCTGAAGTCGCAGACATTCCTCAAGTCCAGAGGCCTGTTAGTAAATTCAAAGCTGCAAGAATGTCATCTAAAAGATAGCCTAGTATGTATTACCATAATAAATTTATATTTTTTAAATTTAATTTTTGGTTTATTTATCCTGTATTTCTCATTAGTTTCCCACTATTTATAGTTGAAATATGTATATTCAATTTCAATATAATCAATTTCTTTGGTCTCAACTTAATGCATAGCATTTCATTCGACAGCCATTGGCGCTGAACAATTTGATGGTTTCTGTCTCTGGTTAAAATCCTACGTCTTAAGTCAATGACAAAGTTAAAACCATACTATAGGCCGCAGTACCCTCTTTACAGCCAGACTTTTTTTAACTACGGTACCTTATCAATTTTTTGGTTGTTTTTTTTTTAAACGCGGTTTTGTGCGCTTGTGGGATTGACTGCAAGTGGTAGGCCTACTTGACTTGAAACCAAATTGGAATGTCCAAAAGGAATATTCATTAGGTATTGGTATTAATGTTTGTAATTGGTGATGCTGAAACTTGTTGGTTTTTGCAACTAGACAATTTTTGTAATGTGAAATTTAAAAATCCAAAATGTGCTCACAAATAAGAAGAACATTTATTCTAATAGTAAATTGTAACATTTATTGCAAAATAATAAAGGGTATGGTATGTCTGAATCAAAAACAGCCATTAGCGTAAAATGTTAATTCAACGTTTTCAAGATGTAAACAAGTCTTACAAATCTCTAAAAACTTGCTCTTCTAGCTCCATTTCTTTCAATGGGATCGAGATAAAATTGTTAAGATATTAAAATCAATATTGACATCAACATACAGTCCACTTTTTTAAAAGCCTTTAAGGCAACAAAAAGATGTATGAGGTTAGTAAAAAATAAACAAAATAGATAAAAATATTCTTATTAATTAAAAATTTACAAAGTGAAGTCAAAAGGCTTGAAGACATTTCTAAAGTCAAGAGCGGTTTTGGTTTCTTCCTCTTTGGAAGCCGTGCAGCTCCTCCAATCAGCTCGATCCTCCATATCTAGCAGCTCGGAACTGGCCAACACTTCCCTGAAAGAATTTCTAATGTTGCAATTGCAGTTATACATGACATGAAACAATTACCTCAAATGTCATTCAAGCTTGCAAGAGTTAGAAGCCTAGCCGATAAATTCATCTGACAAAACAATTAGGTTGTGATTTTCGTACTTATTACCATACTCAGCCAGTTTGTCATATATCTAATCAAGAAAACTGAATTGACCTTTTAAAGCGGTCCTAAATGTTACCCAGCACTATCCTGGACTATAAAAACTTGACTGCATCTTTAAAGTAAAATTCAATACGTTAAAGTCTTTCCCAAACAGAAAAGTTACTGATCAGACCATTGTGTATCATCATGAATGAGAAATCTGGTTTTTAACGTTCTAAACCTGAACTTAATGTGCTCTTATCAGCACGAAAGAGCTGTAGTTATTCATAACAAAATGATCAATTGACACAACAGGTACCCTAAACCTTTTTTTAAAATCTTGTTTAGGTATAGAGTGTGTTGACGTTAGCAAATTATTTGTAAACAGATTTTACGAATTATGCTTTACTGTAGGCTCATACAACCAGACGATAATCTATTATAATTACATTTTTATAACAGGAAATGAAACCCCCTTTACTTTACAACAGGCTACTAAAGTCTGGACCACGTAAGTTTACAGTTGGTGGCAGCCAATCACAAGATACGGCTAGTGTCTACTTCGGTATCCAAAGGTCAATGGTGGTACCTGCCAAACTGGAGTGGGAAGTTTTTCCTGACTCTGTGGTAGAGACGCTCGCCATTGGGTAGTTCCACGTAGAAGTACGGAGTGTTAGGTTGGACGACCTGGTCCATTCTTGCGTGAGGCGGCAACTCATCCACAGTGAAACCTTCAGCCTCGGCACAATCCTGCCAACCGTTGACATATTCAAATTCACTAAATTTTATAAAGTTAAGGAATTACAATTTGTCTGTTTGTATTTTAACTCAAATATTTCCATAAACAAGTCATATTTTCAAACTCCTTTAAAATAACATTAGTTTTAATGTGTACTTAGGTTTTCTGCATCAAGGAAGGTAAAATAGTATATTACGTTACTAGTAGTTCCTGAAAATAAGTGTTTACCGGACGAGTGGATTACCATACGAGTCCGGTACACACATTTTGGACGAGTTACGTATGATAGTTTACGCCATACTACTAAATCCGTACAAATCCTTAAATATTTCTACCAACTAAAGGACTAAAAATCACTAGTCATAACCTCTCTAAGGGGTTATGTTTTTGTTTATTACCACTCATTGCCACCTAAATACAGTATAATCAGCTGATTGGTGTCCGGGAAAACTCATTGCAGTACAGTAGTACGCAATGAAACCCCATTTGAATAAGCTGGCGGCAAACAGCTGTTTTCTGGACTAAATACTTGCGTGGGAAGTTCGTCAAAATAATGTAGTGTGGCGTAAAAGTATTTTTTCATAGAATGTTGATAGTACATAATGAAATATTCAAATTTGATCAAGATATATTCATCAAGATATATATTCATAAACAAGCAAACTACAACGGGTTTCTCCATAAAAATAACATAAGAATTTCAAATATACCGTTTTTGGAATTTGTTTGCATTCTTTACAAAAATGCTCCTTTCTAAAATTTTTGTTACCGGTAAGCTCATTTCAACAGCCAAAATTTTAAAAAAATTGTGGGTATTTCTATATTTTATGTAACTTATTAGGGATCAAAATTTCAAAACCCAATAACAACATGTTCTCATGACCCGATCTTCTTGCCTATGCAGTTTAAAATGTGGATGAGAATGTTTTTGTCTGAAACTCTTGAATGATTCTAACTTAATTAATATCTAAACCAGATGTTCAGAATTTGAAATACATTTTGACTACAAGCACTTGATCCCCGTGCGTGGGACAGGCCCACATCTAGTTATGAAGATTTAATATTGTTGGTGGTAGAATACAATGATAATAGTTTAAAATAAATATGACACAGGAAATGCTATCTGACAACATTGTTGAGAATGTGAAAGTTTTCATTGTTTGTTTTTCTTACTCACTATTTACTTTAGATAAGTCAGCCTAAAAACTGGTTGGGCCTGACCAGTGATAATAAACCAATAGTCTTGACTGATATGTGTTATGTTATGACTGTAGTTTTATTAATTAGTCAGTAGTCAAAGTGCACTTTACCGGACACAGTTTTGGAATTTGCTTGCAAGAAAATCTACAGTTTACTGTGTGCTTAAGAGGACTTAAGCTCTGAGGAAAGGATGAATTTTGCCGTTCATAACGAAAATCCCGAGGTATGGGAGTATTTTGTCATTGATTATGAAAACCCCAGCAATGCCAAATGTAAATTTTGTTTGAAGCTTATACATAGAAGTGGGATAGCCATACATCATACAACAGAACTGTTTCAACATCTTCAATATGAACACGAGTTAGAGCTTAACAAAAACCTACACTCAACCCAGGCTATGAAAAGTACAACTGTATCTCAAACTGAGTCGAAGTTCTCAACCTCAAAAGATGGCAGCACCAGCACTGTAGAATGTAAGTACTTTGTTATTGAGGATGAAAATCCTAGTGTTGCCAAATGTACACTTTGTTTGAAGTCAATATATAGAGGTGGGATAGGCCTAAATGAAACCGCTACAGAATTATTTAAACACCTTCAATATCATAATATCGAACTAAACAAAAACGTAGAATTTAGTGAAGTCGTGAAAAGTGCAACAAAGTTTCAAACCGTACAGACCGAGTCAAAACCTTCAACCTCCAAAGATGCCAGCAAATTACAAAATCATGCTGAAACAACAATTCTTTCTGACATTCTTGAACTTGGCTTTGCAGTAGCTAAAACTCTTGAACTTGGTCACACTTCTGAAGAGATTCTAGATGATGATGTAGGCATAAGCAACAATGAAACAGAGTTTGAAGAAACATGTGACGGTCTTCTATCTCTAATGAGCGATTGTTTTCAATGTATGGCAGCGGCAGGGGACTCTAGCCCCCCTTATGAGATACCAACACCAATCAGTGAACCTCCTACAATTAATGTAGGTCCAAGTGATACCGAAGATGGGTCTGAAGTGATATGTGATGATGCTATTGTATCACTATTATGTCCACTTGTTACTCTGTGTCTTCAGTGTCTGGCAGGGGAATCTGATAGCTCTCAGTGATCAGATACGACCTCTGGACAAAAGAAAGTAACCCTTAGTTGATTGTACTGCCTGTTAAGAGCATAGAACCAAATCAAATGATACTTTTGGACTTGCGGCCAATATTCGTTGTTGAAGACCTGACCTCTCTTGGAACAAACCTTTGATCAAGTAAATAACACAGCTTTATGACCTTCAAAATCTCGTGGTAGTGAGCTAAAACTATTTCAATGGAGAAAACATTTGAGTTAAAAAGAAGAATGTTCTTCTCATGGGGAAAACAAATTATTTACAGCAAAGTAGGTTGCCTCCGAGTATTTGTGTATCGCAGCTAAGTTATGCAGAGCGCCTGTTTGACAATAGTGGACTGCTTAGATAAAGGGATTTGTTTTGTCCCCAAGCAGGTAAACATGTTTATTTTTTATACAAATTTACAGTGTAGGATTATTATTTAATTGGTTATTGAGAGGATTTTTTTTGTAAGAACTGTTTCCATTGATCCAATTTTTTAAAAGAGTTTTACATATTACATTCTTTCTAACTGTTTTTGTTGGTTATCAAATGTATATTTTTTTCAACGGTTCTTACGTATGTTTGGAAAGAAAGAAAGAAAACAATTAAGTATATTCAAATAGTAACTAGATGACCCGTGCTGCTCCGCAGCATTGAAATTAATAGTAAAAAAATAAAATAATAAACTTAATAAGGGCGGTACAACTTTAATTAAACTCTTATAGGGCTGCTGGATTAATTTCGCCTTATGACCAAATTAAAGTATAACACATTCCATATAACACAGAGAAAATCGTCCCGATGTATTTTTTTCCGTTTTGAAAATCAATTAATCCAGAACAATATCCACACACTTCCTAAAAGCACCTACAGAGAAAGCACGTACATTTGTTAACTTATATGTAACACAGCGTGAATGAGGCTTTATTAAGAATGTTTTATTAACAACAATATTTCTTGTAAAATAGACATCTCTGTCGGTAGAATTGCATGTACGCATATTCTCAGGAGTAGTTCCCTCCATCTGGTAATCTTTATTAATATTACGACTTTTATAATACTTCCTTCCAAACAATGTTTGCTGTTCGTCCACCTTTTGATTTAGTTTCTACTTTTACAGTATCGAAAGATTTCCCTCTCGATAAGGCGACGTACAACTGACCGTGACTAAATACTGGTTCAGGCAAGTACACACCAACTCGATCAATCGTTTGGCCCTGCGCCTTGTTGATGGTCATGCAGAACGCAACCTTTATGGGGAATTGTCTTCGTTTGAAAGAAAATGGTACTGTAGAATCTGATGGAGAGAGATCAATGCGGGGTAATAGTGCACGTTGTCCAATATTTGTGCCAGTTATGATTTCTAAGTCTAAACTGTTTTCATACATTTTCTTGACAATAAGTCTTGTTCCGTTTAGAAGACCTGCTGTGTAGTTTATTTATTTTCATATAAGAACCTTCGGTAAAATTCCGGCATCATTTGTGTAATTAATTATGATTATTAAGATTGGCATAGTGCTGAATCACAAACAAACCAAATGGTTCCAAAATAGAATTACCTCAACAGTACCTGTTGATTTTGACGGGTTTAACCTTGTATTTTTTATTTTTTTTTTGTATTTTGTATATTGTATCTTAAACCGATGCTTGTTGTGAAATCTGGACATGCATAACTTCAATTTGAAAATTCAACCATGAAAATTGGTCGAGTAGAGGAGCCAGACGAACTGGGAAATGAAAAACTAAATTTAACTACCAATAGAGCAAATTTATTTTACGTATAATCCGGGTTTGGACTGTAGCTACATATATTTCAATGCTTGATGGAAAATCTGTGCGTGCATACCTTCAATTCGAGACCTCAATCATGAAAATCGGTCGGCTAGAAGAGCCAATCGAACTCGGCTAAGATAAACCAAATTTAACTCCCATAAGAATAACATGGGGAGCAAATTTCTTTTACTTATAAGCCAAGTAGGATTATAGATAAATATATCCCGATGCTTGATGGCAAATCTGTGCGTGCATACCTGCAATTTGAGACCTCAATCATGAAAATCGGTCGGGTAGAAGAGCCAATCGAACTCGGCAAAGATAAACCAAATTTAACACCCATAAGAATAACATGGGGAGCAAATTTATTTTACGTATAAGCCGAGTAGGATTATAGATAACTATATTCCGATGCTTGATGGCAAATCTGTGCGTGCATACCTTCAATTTGAGACCTCAATCATGAAAATCGGTCGGGTAGAAGAGCCAATCGAACTCGGCAAAGATAAACCAAATTTAACTCCCATAAGAATAACATGGGGAGCAAATTTCTTTTACGTATAAGCCGAGTAGGATTATAGATAAATATATGCCGATGCTTGATGGCAAATCTGAGCGTGCATACCTTCAATTTGAGACCTCAATCATGAAAATCGGTCGGGTAGAAGAGCCAAACGAACTCGGAAAAGAAAAACCAATTTTTTTTAATATATAAGATGTTAATTAGACCAAGGCCGGGATTCCCATTTTTTTTAGGGGTTTAAAAAAGGTATTTCTGGTGTTCCCCACAAAACTCGTTGTAAACCCATTTTTAGGTAGTTTATCCGTTATGCCTCTTATTTGGAATTATATTTCACTGTCTTATGCATTGTAAAAAGAATGTAAACACAAGTTACCACCCGATTCTGCTGGGACAGTCCCAATTTCGGTTCCTTGTGCCTGTATTTAAGCCTACGTTAATCCGGGGGAGGGGATTACCGGGCCATGTCCCGATTTTTCCCTTTCCTAAGGTGGCAACTCTGATGTCATCCCACAGTGATATCCATAGCTAAAAGACCAGAATCTGTGCTACACTTAGAAATTATTACTATACTATAGTGTAACTCAAAATAGTTTGAAATATTCGTCAATTAAGTTATGTAAAAATTTAAATTTGCTAAATTATTAAAAAGTTTTGCCATTATATAAATATAAAATAGCTGTTATGGATGTGTTATTAAAACACGCTGTTTTTATTACCTAGAAGAATATTATAACTGTAACAGTTGTTATGACTTAAAAATGATTGATTAATTAATTGTTTAGTTGTTTAAATAAATCAATGTTAAACGTAGTTGATTTTATGTTTTGTTGGATGGATTTTATTTGTTATGCAATCTTAAGACTATTTTGTAGACTACCATGAATGTTTTGAACATTTATATGTTTTACAGATGTGTTTTATTTAAATTGTATAAATCCTATTATTTAGTTTTAAACTTGACATTATCTTTATTAAACTTTTCAGTTAATCTATGCAATATGTGATTGAAAGTTTATAACGTTTCATTGTCGACATTTCCAATTATGAATTGGTAAAACACAAGTTTCACAGGATTTGGAAAGTGAAGTCTTTTTTATCAGGTTGTAAAGGTAAAACCAGACAAGCTTAGTACAAAAAATAGCCAAGCTGGAAAAGGGAAAGGTAACAAAAAACATAAACAAAACTTAGAATATTCAAGTGAAAAAAAGGAACTTAAAGTTTAAACAAAATTAGATCTGTTAATACTGTTAGTACTGTTGACTGATCACAAAAGTAAGCTATGTGGTTTGCCAAAGAGAGAAGGTAATAATGCATATGATACACTACCGCACAGGTAGTTTTTTAGGTCTATAGACTCAAAAAATGACAGAGTGCAACAAAAACGAAGGTCAGGTGTGTGTGCTTTGTTTACCTGATGATTAAAGGTTACTATACCGTATGAGTTTCGGGTTTTGTGAAAAACTACATATATACACCCCTATTTACTATATTTTTTCCTCAGTAATGGAACAGTTTTGCAACAATCTATTTAACAAATACTCACCTTACTCTGTATTTTACACAGTAAAAAAGTAGATCTTACCTGGAAAACCATCTTCAGCTTTGGCACAACATCTTTAGGTACAGGGACAACCTGTATTTGGAGATGCGAGGTCTTGTAGTTCCTTTCGAAAAACACAGGTACTTTACCCTGTTTGGCAAAGCACTTTTTGAGGGCTCCTTGAAATCTTTGGATCGTTAAAGAAACATATTGGAGGTTATGTGGCTAAGGGTTTTTTTGTGGGGTGAAGGGATGGAATTATATAATCCTCACTCCTCACTGAGGCCAGCGTAGAGGCCATTTTATTACGTAACACACTTTTTCACCATTTTAAACCCTATGTGACAACTATGTAACGCTTCAGCAAACACCCCCCCCCCCCTCCTAGGTTAAAACAATAGGTCAGTAACATTAACCAAATATTGAATCATAAAATTGATAGCACTAAACAAAATTAACTTAGTTAAAGGGAACCCAAATGATGAGGATTTTTTTTAAAAGGGTATAGATTTCAACTAGCTAAGCTGAGAAAGTTAGATTCATTTTACAGTGCTTGCTCCTGGAGTAAACCACTAAACCTAAAGGATACTGTTGAATCTCCTCAGTGACAGATTCAGGTAGATGAGCAGCAGCTTGATGATGAGTCACTGGTAGTATAAGAAGATGATCTTCCACCAGACCTCCCTTAGCAAGGGCTAGGTACACCTGGAACATCACAATAGAGGATTAAAAAAAAGATTGGTCAGTTTGTAATTACAGTAGACCCCCTCTTAAACGGTCCGGACCTAGGTCGGATAACTCAAAAGGTCGGTTAAAACGGGCAATCCCTAAAATCATAACATAATGAAGTGCTATTCATTTGGAATTATTTAATCATTATTTTGAAGTCATACTTGCATTATTTATAAAATAAACTACTCTTACCTCCTTTTTCGTAATGATAGAAAAGTCACAAATAAACACAAAACACGGCTAAGTCAAATAGGCCTACTTTCAGTGGAATATATTATGATACTAGGCAATAGTCAATAAAATTCCTATTTTAATAACTTTAGTACTGTAATGTATTAATTGATACTTTCCAAATCCATCGTAATACAGAACAGAACCTTTTGTCAAAATTAAAGATACAAGCAACCATTTTGTTACAAGACAGGATGTTCATTTATAGCCTCTCACTGGAGGCTCGAGGTACAAAAACTATCTTGACCTTGGAGTTGTTAATCCTCCTTCCCTGCCCTCCCTACAAGTTGCGTTATTTGTTTACCCCAGCGATAAGATAATCAGTTCTTAAAATATTAACACACTTTATGATGTTACAAATTTGCCGCACAGATAACAAATCAGATCAGATATCTACGAACCATGATGACAAACTGACAAGAGGCTATGCTATATTTTTTGTGATCAATACAAAATAACTTATTCTTAGTCATATCCTGTGGAGATAAGCGTATGGTTCAGTTCCCATAGCCGAGCGTGGGAGCGGAAATGCCAAAATTCCTAGAAAGCGGCGGTTAAACCGAGCTGCTCTCAAAGCAAGGTCGGTTAAAACAAACTGTATTATTTTACGATCGAAGGCGGATAATCTGATTATCGGTTAATACGAGGTCGGTTAAGAGAGGGTCTACTGTAATCACTTACCAGAAAACACTACAAACACCTACATAGTAATAGTATAAAATCTGGACACACACAAAAAGAGTGTGACTGTGTCTAGGAGTTTGTTTTTTGATCCCAACTTTAGGAATTTCATAATACCACAGCAGCAAACTTGCTTACTAAGTGAATTCCCATTTACCTGGTTGGATTTTCAATATTTTCACTAAAATATTTTCCTAAAATTATCAGATTTATTCCCATTTTAAATAACATCAATTTTAATTAGTACTGAGGTTACTGCTACAGGGAAGGTATTAAAGTAGGGTTGTTATTGAAATGTTAATAACCTACTATGAAATAAAAGAATTAGCAACATTTAATTTTTTGACCCCCAAAATCAAAAATTAGGAAACTAATTATCACCTAATGAAACCTCGTTCTCATAGTCTGATCATGCTGGTCTAAGTTATAATGCTAACGGACATATAAATAAATAAATATATACATTAATTGTTGTAAATTAGCTAAATGCTTGTATATATGAGTTAGAAGGGTTTGGGTTTTTGGCTCTGGAGACATAAAAATAAAGAAAATCAGTCCCAGGTCTAAGTTTTTATGAGGGTCTAACTAAGTAATAGTTTATTCCCTATATGGGAAATTTGCAATAAAAATAGATATTTTCAAACACATTGGATAAGCTGTAGCCTCAATTTTCTGTTGGATTTTACATATTTGACAAGTTGTGCCAGAAAAAAACTTCATGAGTCATTGATGAATTGCAACTAGAAAAAGAGAAAAAAACTTACCTACCTCTCTTCCAATACTGATCACTAAGTGTTTTTCAACTTGTGGACTGGCGAGGCAGAACCAACACGATCCTGTCAATTAAGACCAAAAGTACATTACTTGGGAAGAAGATATTGGGATTATAAAATCAGTTCAGTAGTAATATAATCATCACAGAATTTTTTTTAAATTGAACATTTGATAGTAATCAATAAAAGTGGAAAAGTGGGACCTTTATTAACCACCACTACTGGAAAACAAAATTTAAATATGTGTATAGACGTGTAATGCAGAATCCAGGGTTTCAGGTGAATTTGATGTCAACTCTTTTTCTTTACTAGGCCAACTTCGATACGCTTTTGATTTTTACACTTAATTATTCAAAAAAATTAAGCCATGGGAATACAATAATCCATTGATTATTATTGTAGAGATTGATAAACAAAACTGGGCTGTATGGAAACGTAGACTATAGACACAGACAATGCTTCACATAAATAAGTGGTGAATTTTCCTTTTGAATATTAGAGTCATTAAACCTGTCACTTTCTGGATTTGGAATATACATTTTCATTCAATATAATGGATGTTGTATTGGAGAATTTTTTGTTACAGTCCCTTTCAGTTGTTTGGTCTCCTAACCAACCAATTTATTATTATTTCCCGGTAAATTACGGGGATATTAAACACCCTTGTACCATTGAATACCTTGGTCAAAAGTAGGCCTAGCCCGTTTCTCCCTGTGGTTGCCATCTTGATCATGTGGGCGTTTAGCCGCAGACATGTCGTAGAAGAACTGTTGCGTGCCTGAGTCATTGGCACCACTGAGACCAGCAGAAAGCGCACGGCCACTGTACGGCAGCTCGGTCTGGTCCGTCGTCTGCTGCCGCAGCTCCATGGGTGACATAACCTCAATGGGCGTCAGACTGGCAGCGTACAGCCACCGAGCGTCACTGCCCACTGGGGTAAAGATAAATGTGAGAATATGGCGAGTGTAGTTTGGAACTATTACCACACCTTCTGGATATAAGACAAAACTATACAGACATTTCTAGTATTTTTTTGTGTTATTCAACGCTATTGGCACTTTTCTAAATTTGTTGTGGGGAAAATTAAAACCCTGGACCTTTTACTATCTTAAAACATAATTAATTGATTATTGAGCCCAAAGACAAGTACCATCTGGGTCTAAGAATAATCTGGTTTGAAATCTAACCCTATCGGATACTGAAGTAGACTTCCATCTATATGGACCAGCTGTAGCCAATTTTTCATTAAAAAAGAACGTAGTTGTGTGAGCCAGACACAGAATGCGCTAGTGCCTAAAATTCTATTATTTATCTTATTTTTTGTTGCTGAACACTAATTTGCTACAGTTTTCAACTTTTACCTGGTGCCAACGCCATGAACCTCGTTAGATGAGAACCACTATCACATCCAGTGTCCAGGTTTCTAGAATTGCAGAAAAACTTGTTAAAAACATAAATGACTGTGTATCACAGACACAACTAAATATACTAAAATGATTAGCTAAACTTTTCCCTAGGCTTATTCTACCATTATTTTACTTACACAAATGTTATAGACATGTAAATCGAATTATTAATTATGTTTTGGTGATCAAAGCTATTGTAAAACCAATTTGCAGTCCTCTTCAGAACAGGCATCAGAAGGCAAACATTGCAGAATTTGCTCATCAGTTGGGACAGAATACTTGGCACTGTTTTAATTCCATGACATTTTCTTATTATGTAAAATAAGCTCAGATGACTCAAAGACTTGTAATTTAAGATTTGAAATTGGATAACAGTTTGTTTCGTATATTGAAACTAAACTAAGTAGGCCTACAAATAGAGGTAGTTTACAAAAATTAATAATCATAGACTATTAATAATAATAAAAATATAACTTAGGCGTAATCAATCAATGAATTCTGTAACTCGTTATTCACATTATACATAGTAAACAATAAATGGATTTAATAGCTTTATAAGAAGACAACTTTAACATGGGGATGGAATGTCTAGTTGTTTTATTAATAGTCAAAGATACACTGTTAAACCTAAAATGCATAAAACACCAAGTTGACTAGCTTGTCCTTTATAGGCCCTATTACCTAATAAGGTGTGTTCATCTTAATGATTTATGAGAGATAAGCCTAGATGATATATAATTTTTAGCAACCTTTTTTAACGTTTTTGTCATTGCTCCATTGACATAGCATACGTTGCAACTAAAATATCACTTTATCAATGCTGTTTGGTAAAAAATATATACTTGGAACTGCACAGTAAGTTATATGTACTGAACATGTAATCAATAACTAGTAAAATAAAGAATTACCTGTAAGGTGGTCTTTCATAGAATATGCCTTCTAAACCAGCGAAATGATACCTTGGCTTGATTTGTACGGCCAACCAAGACAATAGCTCCGAGCCAGATGGTACTCTGATATCCTGCAACAGACATTTCAGTGAAGCTCTACAGTGGCTGTGTGTTGAGAGTTTTTATAGACAATAGACAAAGCTTTATTGCACATAGCGCCTGGCACATAACAGTTACTAAAGTAATTCCCAAACTGGTACATAGTCATTAAATACAAAGTTGTCTTCAAGAAGAACTGGTAATTATTGGAATGAATACAATTTTTTTTTTAAGTCACCAATATTTCAAGAAGTTTTAATTTTATGGGACCATTTGCCAGCTACGCTGGCATCATCTGACACATCACAAAACTGAAGGTTGTGTTTATTTAAGTCAAGTATACTGTATACAGTATGCATTTAAACGGTCCGTTTTAACAAGTTTTTGGGGATGTCTGTTTAATCGGAAAAGCCGTTATCCGGACTGCCTCGGTCCCAAGGAGTCTGGATAAGAGGGAGTCTACTGTAGTTTTAACTTATAACACCTATAACTTTGTACTAAATATTTGTCCATTTTATTTATAAATAATGATTCCCATGCATTTAGTTCATTGGATTTTGTTATATTTTTTAGTAATTTAGTATTTCTTGATTGAAATTGTGTGGTCCGTTTCTAAACAATGTTTGCTATTGCTGATTTTTCAGGTCTGTTGTGTGTTATGTAAGAAGTGTGTTCTTTGAATCAAGTTATTAAAGTTATTACTTTTTTTTTGTCTTCACCTCACAACTGTCACACTGAATTTGATAAATGCCAGATTTTGTCGTATTTTATAATTTACTTTTAGGATTTCCAAGAATATTTTTAATTTTGTTTTTCACCTTAAATGAAACCATTAGTTCATCATTTTGCTTAAACTTTATATTGTTTGGTATAGGTAGTGCTTATCCATTTTTTCTTGTCTTTGATTGGCTCTAGTTTAGTTCTTTTCTTTTTGTTATTTTTTTAGCTTTGGTCAACATATTGTCTAAAATTTTGGTCTCATATCCATTATACTAAGCCATGTCTTTTATGTATTTAAGCTCGTTATTATGATTTTCTTGGGACAGTAGGGTATTTAAGAGGTGATAAATCATTGAATTAAAAGCTGATCTTTTTTGTTCTGTAGGGTGATGAGAATCTTGAGTGATAAACCTATTTTTTGGGTTGGGTTTTCTGTAAATATCAAACTCATTCGACCTCATTGTGAATTTAATTGACAGATAAAAAGAATTCAATTTTTTGACAAAGTCATTAAGGGTTTCCTTTTTAAATTTAATTTTAATCATAAAATTAAAAATTCACTATACAGTGGTGATGTTTTTATTTTAAATTGTACATCTCACACATTTTATTTTAAATTGTATCCTGACACGGGGCCAAGCCAGTACAATTTATCTTTAAGAAAAGATAAATCGTACACTATTATAAGGTTTAACAGATTTCTTCAACCTTTTCTCAAATTCCGTTATTACATCCTCCTAATTACTGCTCAATCTTGAAACAAATACCCACTTTTGATAATACCTCAAATTGTGTTCAACAACTAGATCGGTCCCAAATGAGAGCCACCTGTAAAGAATAGTCTTTCCACAATCTACTGATATTTAATGTTAGTTCCTGTTTCCATGTAATTTATGTGTAAGTTTTTTGGTACACTTAATGTTTTGTGTTTTTTATGACAGTCTTTAGCAGGAGATGGTTAAAATAGGATGTGGATAGCTTGAAGGTGGCTCCAAATTTGGACCAAATTGAATTGATAAATGTAATTTAAAAGATTACCATCCATAAAACTTAAGCTAAATTATATAACTCACAGTTTTCACACAAGTCTGTTGAACACAAAATACCTTGGCCTTAGATTAGAGTCCAATCATCTTTGCAAATTATTATTATAATTAATGGGATCTAACTCACGGTTTTCTCATCTCGCTGCGTGACACCCTGGGGCCACTGAGACGTAAGCAGTACATCCACGCCTCTGTATGACGGCTGTCCCTTGACGCAGGAGTCGCGCACTCTCACTACGTCCGCAGCTGTGAAGCGTGTAGCAGCGTCTCTGTCTCCCTCTGTACCGCTCACATACGCCACCTTCAGTCCCTCGCTCACGCTGAACACACCTCTTCTTCCTACACAGGTAAAACAGCTGATGTACCATATTATCGTGGGAAACATCTGATGTGTCACGTTGTTTCAAACAGCTGTGTACCACGCTGTTGTGTGAAACAGCTGATGTATCATATTGTTGTGTCAAACAGCTGATGGATCACATTGTTGCAAACAGCAGATGCTACTAGTCTTAAAACATTTTAAAATCACTAAATCAGAAATACCCTATGTGCATCAAATTACTAGATTACTACTATCTAAGCGTAAAAGGTTTAAGATTAGGTTTACATCATCTGCTAAGAGTGTAAGCTGATTCTTCTGCAAACTCCCCACAACTGTCAATGGCCAATCATCTAAAAACTCAGCCATAAGAATCTAGATAGCATGTTGGGTGTAGCAGTATTGGATTAATAGCACTTCCATGGGTCCAGAATAGCTCCTAATAATATCAAATTGCCATCTAATTCAAAGGAAAGAACTCTAACCTTATGATTAACCTCCTTATTATTGAAAAAGTTCCATAAAATATGTTAAAATCGTTATCACACACTATTGAAATGCATTCCTTCTGGCAATTATGAATATATTTTATCATTGTTAAGTTAATCCAAAACTCTTTATGCTTAACTAGAATTGAGGGAGCTCAGTTGAGCTTTTAACAAATGGTCCAGGCTGAAGAACAAACTGATTTTAATCAGTTGTAAAACAAATCATCTAATTCATTGAACATTCATCCATTAATCTTTGTCCATTCAGCAAATTAAAGTTACTTACCTAAATAGCTTATATTTGGAGCGAGTTCACTCCCGTTTATTTCAGGGTAAAACCTCAACTGTTCTTCGTCGTTAGGTCCCAATATGTTTGTATACACTGGAACTAAAAACCAACTGTTAATAGAATGTTGTATTACAAATGGGAAAGCGTAGGAAAAATAATTTCAATAAAGCAAACATTTAAGTATTATATTTACATACCTCTATTATTGACTAACTTATTGGATACTGTTGTATTAATAGTCAAAGGTATAATACAGACTAATATTTAGATTTTAAACTATGATAAACTGTAAAATACTATATTATAGCAACAGTTTTATCCAATTAAATAACAAAGACAACAAGTTTAATAGAATAGGACATCAATAAATCTTTCATATAAACTTTCAAAAGTTCTCAAATTTGTTACCTAAGTTAATTCCCTTGCAAACCCGGTAAATCACAGTGATAAAAGAAATCTTTTAAAAGTCTAAGGTTTTAAATGTTTGACCTTTGATAAGTTAAATTTTACTGTTTTGCAATCAATAATGTTTTTCGTGTCATGTCGTCAGCTATACAAAGAATATAAAACATTAACAGGCAATAGAGGTACCGTTGTAATTTGTCTTCTGTAATGTTGAGTACTTGCTTTCACCGATTAAAAATTTAATTTTTATGAATCTACTTAGGCCTACAGTTTTTTTCATGCTGAATCCAAAGATGCAATAAGTTTTATCAGAAAAGATTCCAATTGTCCAAAAAACACATTGTTGTCACAAGAAAACTACGATTCTACAATAAGTGACCGTGTAAGCCTATCTTGGAAGATCATTGTCATAGGCTAATTGAACATGTCAATATGACAAATTTCTAGAATAACAACTTGATATCTCAAACCTTACTTAAGTTACTCAGAAAACTCAAAACCTTAAATTATTACCCTTTCATTTTCAGTTTCTACAGATATTGAGGTCCTACTATATTAATTACATTTCCTATAAATAACATAAACAGTCAGATTAAACCTTTAAAATTAACTCAAATTATTATCAACAGCTTATCTTATTAGTCTATAAAAGACGGTAAAGAGAAAATCATTCTATCATGCACCAATAAGAATGAAACCTTACTTATATGTCAAAATATGTGCTGTATGCATTTCCTTAATCACGAAAATTGCTTAAGAAGAAATATTGGTACTTTCCTGTTATCTGGTACCTGCAAAAAAATTCTTTAACCACAAGTACAACTTCGTCGATCCAGAGTCCGGAGCACATACTACCGTTTAGGTTAGGTTAGGTTAGGTTAGGTTCGTTTACTTACAATACTCATGTTATTGATAAACTAACCTAACCTAACCTAACCAAAGTACAACCAGGTACCAGATAACAGGAAAGAATTTTTTCGCAGGTACCAGATAACAGGAAATGTTAAAAACCCAGGTTTTACATTTTGTTTTATTTGCTAAGTTAACATCTAGGATCTTTCATTTTGAATAAAATTTATACTAGGGCGCCTACCTGATTTCTTCCCAGTTTTATAAAGATTCCATTCTTCTTCTGACGTATTTGGACCAAAGAAATTACCAACACATAGTAAAAGATCAAATGGTCCATTCTTTTTGTTGACTTTTTCAACTCGGGAGAACAACGTTTTAAATTTTCCATTAACATCGCCACAAACAAGCCTGCAAATAAGAAATACAAAGTTATATTCTAAGTAACTTCAATATGTTTGTGAGATAATTGGATGACATGAGATTTATTGACGATTAGAATTGTATTTGGGGGACATAGGTACTAGATCACCAGGCTGCAAACCTGCTTAAATATGCCACCTTCTACGGGCCTCTGCACTATGGACCACCTCACCGGGGCTGGTGGCCAGACAAACATTTATCACACCAAGAACCAGGACTGTAGTAGCAAAATGGACATTGAAAAAATTTTAGAGCCTATAAGGCTAGGCAAAATTAATATATAAATATAAGTATGTACCCTTTTTCTCTCTCTCTTCTTTTTTGTTCAATCTAAATCTATAAAAAAAGTAGGCTATGTAGGCTATACCTTATGGACTCCGAAACCGCTCGCTAGATTGTAATGAAACTTTCAGGCATTTAAGCATTATTCAAGGATGGTTTGTGTGAAGTTTGGTGCAGATCCGTCAAAAGGGCTCCGCCCCAGAGGGTTTTAAGGGGTCCAATGTCAGACTTTTGGAACTACAATGTTTACAAATAAATATAATTTGAAAAGCAGATGTTTATACTTTCACCAACTGTTTTGTAGGTTTGAATAAGTTAATTACAACATTCTGTATTAGTCGTGATTTGAAATAGTGCTACACTGTTTCCACAGAATGTAGCACAGAAAACTATTTTACTTTAGGATAAGATCCAAATATATTAAACCTCAATCGCAGCATTCGCAGCACACGTGTGCAATCAATAACTTTTAAATTCTCCACTATTAAATATGTTAACATAGGCCTAAAAAGTAAAAACCTTTATCAAAATTATAAACAATAAAAGGGATGGCAATGTCTATTATTTTTATCTTTTGTTCAATACCCACACAATCTAACATAAACGATTATATAAGTGAATACAACAATCTAGAGTGCTATCTCAGGTACCGGTATTCAAATGCCTCCCAATTCGTCATTAACCCACCACATTACTGTCATTAAAAGAAGGAACTGCAATAATACTAATACGAAACTTAAATAGGCCTATACTCAAGCTGAGCAACGGAACCAGACTGACGATTAAAAAAGTGACACAAAAACTTGATCGAAGCAACAATCATCAGTGGTAAGTTTAAAGGAGAAATAGTCTTAATCCCAAGTATACCGATGATTTAATCCGAATTACCCTTTGAATTAAAGCGACTACAATTTCCTTTGAGTCTTGCTTTCGCAATCACCATTATAAGGCACATAGGCAATCCCTGACTATCGCCGGTTTAAATTTAGAATAAACATGCAATTTCACACGGGCAGCTGTATGTTGCGTGCTCACGTGGTGGTAGGTACGCTTCAAACCTATATATTTATACACCCAGTGGCGGTTCTAGGACCTCGTCAAGGAGGGGGCTTGGGGGGAGCACCCCCCAATAAAGCAGGGGGGCCCGTGGTTCCTCCCCCGGGAAAATTTGGAATTTTCAAAGCCGTTTGGTGACTTTCTAAGGCCATTTTTAACACCTAAAACCGTGCCCAATGGTCCATAAACTCCCATTTCACCTAGGTTGTTCGTCATGAGCAAATAGACATTTTAAAAATTAAACTATGACGATTGCATTCATGAATTTCAAAACACACTGTAGACTACGGCCATATCCTCCTAAAAGACGTTAGGTGACCTTCTACAGCCAGTTTATACGTGTCTAGAACTGTGTACAAAACCTCACATTTCCCCATTTATTTGTCATGAATAAGTAGACATTTTTAAAACTAACTATGACGATTGCATTCATAATTCTCAAACATATTGTAGGCTACTGCAATATCCTCCTAAAAAAGCTGTTTACTGACTTTCTAAAGCCATTATTAATGTTTATATCTGTGTCCAACTGTCCAAAAACCTCTCATTTCGCCCAGTGGCGGCAATAGTGGCGGTGCGGGGGGGCCCGCGAGCTAGGGGGGCCCGCAAGCTAGGGGGGCCCGTGAGCCTTGACCGGGATTTTCGGTAAATTTTACCGGCACACGGGTCCGCGATAGTGTGACAGGCTCAGCCACACGGGTCCCCTATCATACCAATATTTATATGAGAATTAAAATAGGCTACGTTTTTTTATAATAAAAATTTGTTCAAAACCTATAGTTCAAGTAGTTTACAACAACTAAACTAACACTATTACTTGACCGATCGATATAAATTATCTACCAACCTAAGTAAAAGAATTGTCATCAGTCATGCGGGTTGCATTAACTGTCCTCGTGGATTGTGTGAAGGCGCAGTCAAAATTGGTTACACAATAATAGGGCCGAATTTATAACCAATGTGGCCTCTGTCATCGTCACCCGCGGGGAAATGTTCTCGTCGATATCCGCAATCGCAGCAAAAGCGTAGGCCTAATCTTTCAATTTCGTGAGTGTGATATCCTCGCGGATATAAAAGCTTTTACTTTTAATTGTGCATTATTGTATTGAATACTGTGAAAATCGGCCCGAGCTTGATTTTCTGACTTTGTGCTTGATCTCTCAAACTTGTAGTCCAGGCTCTGCTCGGCTTGAAAATCGACATTATAGGCCTATTATAAAAATCAACCGTTTCCAAAGCAACCCGATCTTGAACGCACTAAAAATGTTACTAAGGGTCTCAGGCCAAATCAGATCGGTCCAAAATTGGGTTGTTTTGGAAACGGTTGATTTTTATAATAGGCCTATATAATGTTGATTTTCGAGCCGAGCAGAGCCTGGACTACAAGCTTGAGAGATCAAGCACAAAGTCACAAAATCAAGCTCGAGCCGATTTTCTCAGTATTCAATACAATAATGCACAATTAAAAGTAAAAGCTTTTATATCCGTGAGGATCACGCTCACGAAATTGAAAGATTAGGCTTACGCTTTTGCCGCGATCGCGGATATCGACGAGAACATTTCCCCGCGAGTGACGATGACGATGTCTCGGCGGCCGCAAATGTTCAATATTTTATCGCGATTGCGGAAGACGATAATGACGTTTCTTTTTTAGCGAGAGATATATCTAGGATTTAGCTGCGATTGCGGAAAAATGATTTACCCGTCACCACCGACGGGTCGCGGGGAGATATTAGGCCGTGATAATAGATTGGGCCTTGAACGCGGGAGATCGGGCGTGCTGCTATCTAATTATGTCATAGGTTTGGTTGCATTTGCAATCACGGTAAACTATGATAATGTTTCTTCCATGACTTATGACTACGGGAAGTATTTACGAGTTTGCCGCGATCATGGAAGACGATAATGACGCCTCGGGAGATGCCTTGTAAAGTTGATTGCAAAATTGCAAGTTTAGGCGGTAATACATGGGAAAATGTATTTAAAGATCATTGGGAGAGGGGGGCCCGGCGAACAAACTTGCGGGGGGGGGGGGGCCGTGGGTTCTTATCGCCGCCACTGGTTATTTGTCTTTGTCATGAGCAAGTAAAGTAGACATTTTAAACTCAAACTATGACGAACTTGCATTCATGAATTTCAAAACATAGGCCTACTGTAGACTACGAATCCATCTCCTAAAAGCCGCTTGGTGACTTTATAAAGCCATTTCTAACGGCTAGAACTGTTCCCAATTGTCCTAAAACCTCACATTTCACCTGTTAAATGTCATGCAAGCAAGTAGACACGTTTTTTAACTTTACGTTTTTCTCCATTTCATAGATCTGTCACAATATGTATAGTATCGAATTCAGTAATAGCATTGAATATATAAACTTTAACACTAGTGTTTATATAGTCAATGGTAATAGGCTACTGGTGCTACCGCTGATTGCTGATTGATGCCTGTGTAAAGTTAGTGGCTAGCAGACAATTTGACAACTAACTATGGAACATCAGGAAATCAGCTGTTTCCCCGTCCTCGCTCGTACGCTCGGCGCTTGCCTTTGCCCTAGCATGTCAACAGCTGACCGCTCTAAAATTTGATGATGCGTAGAACTTTCCAAAGCGTAATATTGTTTTATTCGTTGTGCTTGTGTCCACAAAGTTTATCTGTGGGACTTAATACTACTCCTGCTATCGCTTTTAAGTTTAATGAAAATTACATTGATGTCTGTTTTATGAGATTACGTATTTTAAGGACGAAATGTACGTTTAAATTGATTTTTCCAGGGTCCAAGGGGGGGGGCTTTAGCCCCTGTAGCCCCCCCCCTTGGAACCGCCACTGTATACACCTAATGAAAAAACAAAAAACATTGTTTATCCAATGGCAATTAAGTAAAATAAATACTCTATTTTTTGTCATAAGATATAATAAGTTACTGGGTTTAACAGTTTTGGCTGCCCGCTGTATAACTTAGGCATTAGGCCTAAGACTAGAGATGTGTTTTTTACTCTCTATATTGACACACTCTACAACCAGCTATATTAGCGTAGACATTTGATGTCATATCCCAAAACCTCGGCCTACTCTGTATTTTTAGGATAGGCCAGGCCTAAAACTTTCAAAATTGCATCTCAAAACATTGATCATGTGTGACTGAACACTCAGGAACAATAACACAACTGACTGGCAGTATAGTGCTGCATACTGATTTAGCCTTACCATAGTCTAAGCTCTTGATTCTGCAAATGAATAACAAATGGTGGCTAAAAACAGAAGCTGATTTTGGGTACACTTCCAAATCTGTTAGCACAAACAACCGAATGAGTAATATTGATTATTCGATTGTTTATTTCGATATATCGTTTGGTTAGTTAGGTTAGGTTAACCTTACCTAACTAACCAAACGATATTTCGATCGATATTTTCATTCGGTTGTTTGTGCCAACAGATGGAAGTGTATCCTTCAATTTTAGAGTGAACTGATTAAAAATAAATGCTGCTGTAGGCTGAATAACACCTGATTTATAATTTACCATTTTTGGGAAAGCTATGAATATAACAAATTAGTCTACATGCAAGGTCTAGCATCAACATCAAACGGCTTCTTATAGCGACTTATAGGTTAGAAACAAATACTTACACTTTAACGTTACCATTCCTTTTTTGGGCCATGCTAATTAACTTAAGTTTACAATAAGCCCAAACAAAAATTAAAGTAAATCACTAGGTTAAATAAAATGAATTTTCACTGGATAAACAGCATAACTTCAGTCGACAAGTCAAGTCAACCAACATCAACAACAAGCATAAATAAACAACACACAACACAGACAGAACACAACGACAACACAGACGAGAAAAGACCGAACGACTCAGCAACAGCAACAGTCAAACACCACCAGGCAACCTGACAAGTCGACAAGGTGGATAGCGCTGGGTTCACAACGATATGGTAGGCATTCGGATAAGTATCGATCGTCGTAGTATGAAATGAACTACTATCGAACATCGTAAATCGATTGCCTCCTAGAGCGCTACAGCCGAGCCGACTCGACTCGACACACAAAGAAGAGAGAGAAAGAGAAGACAGACAGAGAGGAGAGAGACAACAACTAGCACTAGCCTTCGAAGAGGATAATATTTCTTTTATTATTTAGTTATTTAATTTATTTCAACTTTGTTCCTTTTGATCAGTTCCATTGCCTAGGATGGCTGTTTTATAACTTATGAGGATTAAACTTAAGCTTGTTTTAATAGCCAAGGGCCTACCTTACCTTTGACTATTAATACAACAACCCAGTACTAAACTCATGAAATATGCCCTCTGCTCAGTTTGAGAATTCAAAATTCAAATATTTCTTTCCTTGCAATATCTGAGCCCTAGAAACGGGCTTTTTGAGAAATGTGTATTCCCAAGACAGCTCAATTTGTTATTGAATTAGACAAGTTAGGTTAATCTACGCCAAAATTGCGCAAGTTTACTGGAATATTTTTTAAATTCCTCCGTGATATTCTTATATTCATCATGCTGGTTATCAGCCGTAGGCTACTTATACTGTAACTTAATGTTAATAGGATTAAACATTTTCATTTGCAAATGTTATGCCAGGTTCAGATATTATGTTGTACTTATTTATTTATTTGCATTCACTGTAATATTGTGAATTAAATTATGGTCTTCCCGACCTTCCCGTAAAGGCCACATTATGACGTTTGTGACGACAGGCATAGGAGAGGAGTTAGAAGCAGCAGCAGAAGGCACCAAGGCATTGGCAATAATTTCGATCTTCCACCATGAGATAGCCGGATCCGATACTAAAAAGTCGATGTCTGTCATCCGGTAGAAAACAAGGTCGATTCTTATCCGAATGCCTACCATATCGTTGTGAACCCAGCGCTATCCCGACAAGGTCGACAAGGCAACGCCAACTAAACAACATACATGCTCTATCTTTTCCTTCAATTTACTATAGCCACGGCCACTTCGTTTATCATAGATAGATTAATCTTACTATTTTAGTAGATATACATAATATTAGAATAAAAATAGTTTACGCATCATATTGCATTGTTCTTTGGTTAGCTTTTTTTTATTTTTCATCCTTATGGATCAGCTAAAGAAAATGTTTAATGTTAGTTCCATCCCGTCACTCAGCAAGGCCCCACTAGAAAAAAGCTTTTTCTAGTGGGGCCTTGCACTCAGGTGTCCCTAGAGGCACGTTGTTGTACAAATTTATCCTGATAAAATTGTGTAGCTTTTTTATGGTTCAACCCAGACCCAGCTGTCCTTTATCAATGGGCTTTAAATAAATGGTCCTGACTAAGCAACTCTTCACATCAGTGTGATGCGGATGCGGGACCGATCCGTACCGGACGAAGCTGTTTAAAATATTGAATCATATGGGAGCGTTCACACCAGTGCGGGTTTGCATGTACAGACGAAATAACCCTCTGTTCGGGTGGAAAAATCACCCGGATAACTAAACTTCGAATTCGAATGCGGGACAGGATCGGATGGCTAGTATTTAGAACATTTGGCTCTTATGTACATTTATCCATGTTTGCCTCCTGGATTGAATAATAATAACAATAATAGGTTAAATACCTTGTATACGTCCTCAATCCAAGTCGTCTTTTACAATGTGTATATGTGAACTTCAACGGTGACCAATGCTATAAACAGTAATTAACAAGACAGAAAATTTGACAATGGGGCTGTTGGCCCCGAAACTATAGTCATTGTAAAAGACGACTTGGATTGAGGACGTATACAAGGTATTTAACTTATTATTATTCTTATATACACTTTCACACTTGTGCGTTTCGGGCTGGATTCGCCAGGACATAAATCAGTAGTTTTGACGGTTTGGGCCCATCAGTGGTTGGGCGTAGTTATTTGATGGAACTCTTGTTAACTTAGTAGGGAAGTTTGTTGTTTTCAATGTGGAGGAATAAATTGATATCGAGCACTTGATTAGTTTGGTCAAATATATTTTGGTTGGTTTCAAGTTCAGTAATGTGGGACAATACCCCTATACCACAGGGGGTATATTTTATTTTATTCTTTTCAATCACACACACCGAAAAATTCTTGTTCCAGTCAGTCAATTTTAAAAGGCCATCTCAGCCAGCCCGCTTCCTCATCCGTAGAAACAACTCATATTTGGATTATAATACGCGCCCATAGGTGGCGTTTTCATCACAATTAGTTTTTGTTTTATCTATGCTTGTGTTTTATCATAGATAAAACATATTTTACCTATGCTTTTATTGTAGATTCATCCGGACTCACCCACGCTGGTCAGCAAGAACGGTTCACTTTAAATTTGAATCTCCTGTCCTTTGTCGACGCCGTTTTGTCGGCAAGATTAAAATATTTGAGATCCGATCAGATGACCGACGTTATGTTTATGCATGTCATACTTGAAGTGATCTATGTAATGTTTTTTTTAATTTAACACTGGCTATGTTTTTTGCATGTAATGCTTGTTTTTCATATTCATTCTTATTTATTGCACATATTTTAGTACCTATAATTATTATGCTATGTTTATGCATTAATTTAACCTATGTAATGTATTTTTGAATGTAAAAATTGTATTACCGTTGGAAGAATAAATAAATAAATAAAAAATAAATAAATTATTTATTAAATAATTAAATGAATGAATGAATGAATAAATAAATGAAAAAACTTTCATAATATTCCCATACGACCGACATCCCACTTGACCGGCATCTTATACGGCAAACACTGTCAATTTTTCGGGATGCCGGTCAAATGCGACTATTTAAGTTTCGGCATGGTTTCGGTCATTTGGGATGTCGGTCATTTGGGACCCCACGTAGACTGTATGACGTCATTTGAAGTAGGAAGTCTTTTGTCTGTCTTATCTGCTGACCTACCTTTGCCTTGCCAGTTGCCAACCAGCCAGCTGTAGAGTGCAGATTGACAGACAAACAAAATTCGTGTTGACTCTGTTGACATATTGAAACGAAAGTGGGATCTTGAAATGAAAGTTGAGGTAGAGAATGGCTGGTGAAGTGTCTTGGAATAATTTGCCTAGTGTTATTTTAAACGAAATATTCTCATATCTTTCGCACAATGACAAAGTGCGTGCCTCTTCAACCTGTTCAAACTGGCGTCTTGCATTAAGTCACCCAAAATGCTGGAGAAACGTAAAGTTTGTCGTCAAACCTCAGGACAATTTTGCAAATTCAATAGCTAGAACTAGATACTTGGTGGAATTTGCTGCTAGAAAGCTTCACAATGCTGTTATCACATTTGATTCCATGGATCCAGCATGTGTCGATGAAATCTCTAATGTTATTGAGAGTTTGGCCGAAAACGCCAATTTGAAAAGCTTGTTCCTCAATCCCAGCAATTGCAGTTTGGACTGTCCAAGTGGCCAAGGTGATGATTGGTCAAAGTACATTGAAAGGTAATATTATCATAAGATTTACAATTTATTCAGTATTGATAGGGCATAAGTTTACCACTAAGTTATATACGGGAAACTAACTTAGGCCTACTTACTTAGTTTAACACGTTCAGTGTGGCAGGCATTCCAACAGGCGCTCACCAATGGCGGTGAAGCCCCGGCGCGGCACCGTAACAGCGAACGCAATTGGCATTTAAATATTTCAATCTGACAAATAACAAAAGAGCAGCGGTGATTTTACTATGTTACCCCAAGATTGGACGTAGTTCCCTAAAACACCCAAAGGCCAAAGGTAGCAGCACTGCCTGAATCGGTAGTCAGTGGCTTTGTAATATGGCTTGAAGAGAGAAAATCCCCGAAACGAGGACAAAAAGCATTGTCAGATGGGATTTTACAGGAAATTTTAACCTACACCAAAATAAAGCTCACATTCTAAGCTATAGGCAAGCAACGATTTTTAACGTTCCCCGGCAATGGCTGAGCTCATACTGAACTAATGTAATGGGGCTTGCTTAACTACATCAATATAGATAATTACAAGACAAATAAATCTAAATTTAGGTCCTACAACAGATATCACTAAAAGTTTTGATTCTTTCAATAAATATGTTGGATGCCTGCTCCATTACTAGGTACATTGATGATACTAATTGATGTAGGCCAATAGCAGCGCTCGTGGCGGGATGTAGTCAGCACTCAACGTGTTAGGGCCTAATAATATTTTATTTTAATGCTTATTTTCCCCAGCTAGGCTAACTTAGCTCACCAATTCTTGCAATAGACCCCCAACCCATATAGCATAGTTTTTCTAGAAACTTAACTTAGGCCTGACCTAATTCCTCTCTCTACGATAGTCGCAAATTTTCAACATGTGTTGTCTATTTTAGCAAGTTTGCAACACCTCTAATAAACGCAATAAGGAAAAGTCATCAGATGGAAGCTCTCAGTCTTGGATGTTTAGAGGAACTGATATCATCACACGCCAAAAATATTTTAGAATTAATTGTCAATAAACATGCTAATAATATAAAAGTCCTTGGATTGGCTACCATCAAAGACTATCCAGATGACTACTTCATAACAGATTTGAACATACGCTTGTTGAAGCCTCTTGTTAATCTTCAGGTGAGTAACATAGGCCTAGAATTTAAACTTAAATATTTCTCACTTTTAAGATTGATTCAATATTTAACAATATTCAATATAACAGCATTTAAGTTAAGAATACTGAAAGGCCAACATAACTTGTCATAAGTTAAGTTACACTTAGACAGTACAGTAAATACATAGGCTACCTTTACAAATCAATACGGTACTAGAGGTAGTTAGGTACAGAGGAAACACTCTTATAGGACGACCCCGTTCGCTTTCTGTTCTAGTAACTTATGTTGTGCCACAAATTACTTGAGACAATAAAGGTGGACGGCGAGCACTACGCGGAAATTCCTATCGCACAGGGTCTTCCTTTCACAGTTCAACAATTGGATTGTCCAATGCATCAACTCTGTAGGCTTAAGCCTATCAACTTGCCTAATAAAAATCTTAAATCTTGTTTTAAGTCCAAATGAGTTGGTGGTTCAATGGGTAGCATGACAGTTGGTAAAACCGAGACCGCTATGCCATTGATCTGCATTCTGTTGCCACGATTCTAAATTTAGTACTATATTTTAACAGTTAATTCTTATACTGTACCGTCTCTCCACTTGCGACCTTTAAGGCCCCTATTAGACGAGGTAGCCTGGCGACGCACTGGCCACCAAACCTAGTAGCCAGTTGAGTAGCTGGAATTTTGCCGCCGTTACTCATTTTTTTGTGAGTGCTTGTCTTGTACTTGTACGAGTACTTGTTATGAGCGGTATGTTTACAGTGAATAATGAGTGATTATAAGTATCTTCTCCTTCTGTTACTTCTGAAGAAAAGGAGGCAAAGGAAGAGAAAAATATACGTTCATTGAATGCTTAGTGCAAGAGAATCGAAAGGGTTATATTACACCCTTTTTGATGAGCTCTGTGCGGACAATACACAATTTTTCAATTATTTTCGTATGTCACAATCCAGTTTCTTTGAGTTGTCTTCATATCTTCGCGTATCCCTTCGACTGAATCAGATATAGACATTTTATCAACTGAAGTGAACAATTCACTCACTCACAACACAACAGAACGCAACACAACAGTGTGCAAGTACCCCCGTGATATGAACTGACCGAGTGGCGACGTGATACTGGCGACCTAGTATAATAAGCTCCATATGCTACAACGCAGCGTCACCAATATGGGTAGCCAGTGGCTACCGCAGTGGCGACGGGGCTCGGTAGCCAGTCGGTCGCCAAAGTGTGGCTGCGTCGCTGGCTACCCTCGTGTAATAACATTCATAAGAATCAGTGACCCTTGACAAGCTGAGTAGCCAGTTTGGTCGCTGGCGACGTCGCCAGGCTACCTCGTCTAATAGGGGCCTAAGGCCTGTGTGGTCGGGCAAACGCAAGGTTAAAAAAAGCCACCAACCCCTTTAAAAATAATTAAAATAACAGGTTAATTTTTAACAGATCCTTAGCATCGACTACTGCCATGTTAATGACAATCTACTGCACATCCTCGGTGACACGCAGCTGCAGAGGCTCGTGGTTCACGTTCACGGCATCATGGACGAACATCCAGGCACAACGGAAGGGGCCTGGACCTACCTCACACGAAAGCTGTAAGTCGAATGTCATCTAGTTTAAGTAAAGTTTTCAATTTGGTGTCTAGTTGCTGTTGTTGTGTCTAAATCCTAATTGATTGATGTCAATTATAACGTCACACAAGGTTTCCAAGCACTCTACGTAGTTAGTTGTTTGTGGTCAGTATGAGAGATATTACTAGGGTTCTTGGAAACTATTCTTAGTTCTTAGAAAATATTTGTTGAATATAATATTTATTTATATTTGATAAAATTATTGATAATGATGTTTCAGCCCCCACTGTGAGCTTCGACTCACGCTGATTCACTCCTATGATGGAGTCGACGTTTTACACACCAAGATCCTTCGCCACGCCATGCCTCTTACGCACCTCAAGGTCTTCTTTTGCGAAAAGGTAGATTTTGCATGATTGACGTAAACAGTAACACTAACCGTGTTTAGCATAATCTTACTAAACTGTGAAGCAGTTTGTAACCTGGGTGTAGGCCTATCTTAAGAATTCCAATATACTTGCAACGCACAATTCCTGGATGGGGGGGGGGGGATATGTAGTCACAAATGTTGCCAAGATAGGTACTCAGCCTACAATGTCAGGGTGAAATTCCAGGGTCTGCGATAAGGGAAACCACTAGACTTAAAGTCAGGTCCAACCAGTATAGGGCTGGCTCATATACGGGCACTGTGTCAAATAAGTCAAAACAAGTCACCAAACAATTGTGCACTTATCACCACCAGACCTACGCCGATTTTCTCCCTACGGGGTTGTTGCTGACTTTACAACTCGGGCTTCATCCTCACTATCCAATAACTAAGCACAGAGAGCCTAAGACAGTGTGAGTGACACAATGACTTGATAATAATAACCTCAACGCACATTATCACCAGGCGGGGCCTACTCTGCCTCTAAAATTCAGTGCACCACTCCAATACGCCCAAGCTAACAACCAAACCGTAATTAACTCAAAACACAATAATTCAAAATAAGAATCAAAGTATCTGTAACTAAACACCTACTACCTGGTCTCTACAACTCTTGCTCTTGATTTAGGAGTAATACTTTTGGTGATGTAATTCAGCTCAACAATACATAGGCTCCGGATTAACCCTCTTTGACACCCAAGGCCCAACGCATGCATTATTGCCCCTCCCCCTCCCCTCTGTACCCAGGGTGATAATTTCATGAGTCGTTTATGATTTGTTTAGGGTTAACAAGAAATTATTTATACTATTAGAAATTTAAAACTCAATTAATTAGTTCCAATTTGAATTTTCTCCCTCCATCAGATTTCAACATCTGTATAAACTGTTGACTAAAACCCCTTTGCACATCTTAACCTGCCGACGCCCTAGAGGCCATGATCTAAGGTGGCCTAGTGAATAATCCAGCCCTGACGATACATTACATACAGTTTTTGCTCATTCAATATTTACTATTGAAAGGTGTTTATTTCTACGTCGTGTTGTAGCTCAACATCGAAGCAGTTCACCAGCTGAGTCTGTACAGTGACACTCTTCGCAGTATCTGGTGGGTAGACTCGATGTCTAACACTGGCAACCACTCCCTAGTAGAATCTACCTTAGTCAACCCTTTTGTCATGTGCTGCTGGCGATGTCATAAGCTGGAAGAGCTGGTTTTCATAGGTAAGCAACTTATACTACGAACATGTAACGTTAGTTTTTTTAATAACCCTTTTCTAAAATTATCATTAGATAACATCAGTCAGTGGTCTTTCGATTAATTTATTGTTTTGAGTTTTGACGGAATTATCCAACAATTTCTCTAGGGATGTGTTTGTGAAATACAAATTTTAATTTTTTTTTTGTACCCTTAATAATGGCGTTATTGATTCTCTTTTTTGATACCGATTCACAGTTTGCGTTAGCATCTCGATTTTCTGGCGTCGGCTCAACCAGTGGTCAATACCTACTATTGTATGACACCCAATATGATAATAGGTCAAATAACGGGGGCATATTTTATTGTTAATGCTATTTACTGTTGCTGTTTCCAGGCCATAAGTACCTATCGCTGGACGTGATCGCAGTGATACGTCTACGTGGCGAGACGCTCACACACCTGTGTTTAGCTGCCGATGACATCGCCTTCCAAGCCGACCCTTCTGTGGAGCCCACACTCAAAGAACTGCAGCAGGTCGGTTCTATTTTGTTGACAAATTACAAACGCTTTAGAGCAAAAGAGTGATGACGAGACAACCTGCATACATTCAGACACTACTGTCGTAGATCGGCACCGTGACGCGCCAAGTGTTAGTTATATTGTGCAGCCCCGTTCGCAGCCAACAAAAATGTAAAAAAAAAATACACCATGACAAAATTTGACCCTTAAAGAGCTTTTGATCTCCCCAACTACCTGCCTACATTTCCTTTGATTCTCTTCTCATTGTTCCTCATTGTTTTGATTCAAATTTAGTATGTTATAGTCGTTTACTGTTAAAAACGCGGTATAACCCCCATTGCCTTAAAAACTACGGTTCAAAAGTTATTGCAACTTTTGAGATTCTCCCACCACTGCTCACCCATGATAAGGGTTGTTAACAAGCTAATGGGATAAAGTATGTCAGATTGCTGATACCGTTATTTTTGATACAGGAGATCAGTGATCATATAGGCCGGCCTTGGACTGCACTGGTTGAGCCTCAGCTTCATCCAGTCATATGGAATCCTACTGCAGGTGACTCTGACGAATTCGTCCTTCCAATCGTGCTCAAAGATATCGAGCCGTAGCCGACACACGACTGAGTGTTTTATATCCCTGTCTACATTCCGCAGGATGCCAACTATCGACTCACCAAACACCATCGTGATACAATTTTGTGAGTCTTCTTCAAATATTAGGCTTATTTGATTCTACATTATTTTGTACGAGTACAGTGGTACTACTTTCGACCATCCTATGTGAAATCAGTTTTTGTAAACTGATGTGTAGAGTTAAGGCATAAACTATGTTAGGCACAATTATTTTAGAATCACTCTTATTGTGTTGTATGATTTTGATATTTGTGTTTCACTACACGTTTATTCTATATGTATTTAAAGAAAACTGTTAATAATTTTTGTAGGCAGTTTAGGTTTTTAGTTTAGCTCATGTTCAGCAGACCTCTTGCAAAACACTATATAGTTAGCCTACCAAACAATTGTCAGAAAATGTTTATTTTGTCAAGATGTTGTTCAATTTATTAGATACACATGTAAGAATTAATTGCATATATCCCTCTGTTCAAATTTGCCTAGCACAATGATCAAAAGAATCAATCGCAAGGTAATCTATGTTATTAATTCTGTAAGCAATTTTTAAAATCAAAATTTTGTGAGAGTGTAACAGCTTGCAGGATGAAGGGAAAAGGCTCAAATTAAAGGTCTTGGTCCCAGGGAGCCGGGGAAAATAGCAGATTAAATCTACAAGAAATTGAAAAATGACAAAACATATCTTCCATTTAAAATGCATTGGGATTGAAAAATTGCCTGCTTTGTTTATATTAATCATGTGATTACATTTTTTATCATTTTCATTCTACTTTTTATTATTTTCATAGAGTGTGTGAAGTTTGTTTACTAATCAACAAATAATTCAGATGAATTCTGCTTTCGCAAGTGATCTACAATTTATTAACTTACAATTTTCAGAACTGCTGTGTGAAAGATCATTTGATTCTTAGTTTGTTTAAATATCACAATAGTTTTGTTTTACATATTTGAGCTTTTTAGGGACTTATGTCCGAACAATATAAACTGTTCTGCAAAGTGAATAGAGATTTTCATAAAACCATCAAGTGATCATGCTTTGGCTTGTTTATTCCTAAAAACGTTCAATATAATCTCAGGAACTATGTGCTAATATACTGATACAAACCAACCTTGTGTGTATAATCAGAATACAAATACAGTACTTCATATTTATGATGAGTGTGCATAAAAATGTGTACTCAATAGTATACTAGATACTATATTTCCATGATGTAAAAAATCTGTTAAGCAATTATAGTATAGTCTGTAGATTGTTATATTGAATGTTCAATCCTTTGATTGTCGTCTATCGCCTGGCAATTCACTAATACAACTACCACATTAGTAGAAGCAGATAGCATGCAATATGTTAATATTGTTATATATAAGAAATAATTTGGCCTTAAATGTTAGTATATTGGAAATTAATAATAATTACATTCCGATGCGATTAAATTAGAAATATTCAACAAGTTTTGACAATTTGAAATCAATCAAACTATAATAGAGGAAAAGACATAAGCAAATAATGGAGTAGTTAGCCGTTGATAACGTGAAAGGCAAAACAAGTTTACGTTTAATCCATCTTTAGTATGAATCATAAAAATATGCTATTGCCTATGTAGGCCTACTATTAATTGACTTTAAACAACACCTTGAGATCATTAAGTGTCAGATTGGATGATGCTTCATTGGCTACGGTCAGTACAGAGTCTGAGATTGACAGCTTCTTGTTTTGCAAACCCAACACATTTTCTTCAACCGTATGACTTGCGACAAACTTGTAGATCTGAATATCTTTCTCTTGGCCAACTCTGTAGATACGATCAAACGCTTGACTCTCAAGCTGAGGTTTCCAATGGACGTATAGAAGCAACAGATGATTTGCTCCAATCAGCATCAAGCCAACTCCTCTAGACGTGAGTGACAATAGAAGAACTCTTGGTTCTGATCCTTTATGTTAAACCTTTTTACAATTCCACCACGATCTTTGACAGGAATCTGTGCCCAGTGAGTATTAAGCATTTGAAACTTATCTGTTGAATGAATTAAATCGAGGTGTGTGACCCTCTGAGATATTATCAATAGTTTGTCATTGCTGGTCAAAATGGGTTCTACCGTCCCAACCACATTCCTCATCTTAGAACTCAAGCGATCCTTAGCAAACAATGGATTTTTTTTCTAAGGCTGTTAGGTCTGTGACATTATCATTCATATGATCCTGGTTATGATTAGTAATATACATTAGTGCCATCTGTTCCAACAGATCAAGACCATCTGAATCTTCAATTTCACCATTAGAAATGTCTTCTTTCTCCAACATAGGTCTGGATGAGTGGCGGATTACAGCAGAACTGCCGCAGCCTCAACAGTAGCACTAGGATGTGGTGACATTTGACATCAGAAATTTGGTCCATCTTTTTTTCTAACTGTGCCAGCTCCAGGTGGTCTTTGATTGCTTCCTGAGCGTGCTGTAAGTTTTTAGGCTTCAATGGAGTCCTTGCAAAGTCTTCTCTTTTTCAGCCATTTGATGAAGATATGTTGCGAGCAAAGTCTTGGAAAGAATAGGATTTTCTCGTATATGATCTTTTCTTTGTTATCCATATGAATCATGACTGTATTGAGCTTTTTCTCAGGATTTTTTTTAGTTTGCCCACTTCCTGAAGGCCCTTCCTGATTTGTCCATTTTGGACTAACTCAATCCTCTGGGTAGTGATAAGCTAGTCTGTCATGTTTTTAACAAGTATGGTTTCCACAAACTTTATGGATAAAATTTTGACTTGATTATAACTGATTACTTGATTGATAACTTTTGTTTGAACAAAATTTCTGTATTTCTGTTCCAATTCCAACGGTTTCCTATTGATTTAGTATTGATTGGATATTGGAAATCACTCTTTTAAGTGGAGACTTTGGTTAAAGAAAAGAAAAAGGGGACGTTATAGGCTACAAAAAAATTTCCTTAAATAAACACCTTTTTATGAGTCCAGATTTTTTTTAGCTCCGGCTCTATGATAGTTTACTGTAACGTATGTTCTTAAAAACATCCATTTCTTAAAAATTTCATTGATTACAGAAAAATGACTACTTCTATTGGTTAGTGAAAATTTGAGATGTTTACTAAATGGTCAAAACGTTTTCTTGGAGACCTACGAATATCAAAGTAACCAATAAATACTGCTCACACAAATACATCTGTAGGTACTAATAAACTGTATCCAAGGATTAGTAATACCTCCAATAAGTTTGTAAAACAGTACATTATTTAGAAGTAGTATGAGTTTAAATATTCAAGAAGAAAACTGAAATAGAAAATATATTCATGGTATGGATGTATTGCAAGATGTGTGTATCTTATTGCAAGAAACCATGAATAAATAAATTGAAAAGAAAGGTGAATATAGCACAACAATTAAACTTTGAAAAGTTCACTTGAGGGAATGAAGGTTTGATGCGTCATAGGGTTTAACATTCAAAAGAAATACTAGTTGTATTTTTGACTAATGCATATATTTCTTGTTTCTAGGATTTTAATTTAAGTTAAAAAATATAACCATTTAAATAGTTGCAGTTTGACATACTTGGAATATTTTTGTCCAACCTTGAAGAGCTTCAATTTTACTATTAATAGAACTAAATTGTTACTAGGTCAAAAAATGTTCCCATCTTCCTTTGTTTCCGCTATTGATGTTCTGTGTTGCGCTAAAAATAGCCCCCGATGATACAGATCCACAAATAGTTCATCACACTTACAGTCAACACAATATTCCACTTGATTGCTGCAAATTTTACATTTATTTACGATACTGTATTTGTGAACTCATTTTCAATGTTCAACTGTAATTATTACCCTATCATTTGTTCTTTACACTGTATGTCATTGATTTATGAGACAATGAATGTAGGAAAAACAATACTAGCAACAAAGAATTATTTTTTTTTTCATTTTTAACTATTATTTATACTAGAAAGAAGCAATTGGGTGTTAGTATATTTTGTCCTGTGCCTTTAAGAAGTATAAGAACCTTTAAGATGATCGTTAAAAAGCAGGGGAAATGTAGGTTTGTTTTCTTACCAGAGTTTAGTATAAATTCATCATAGATTCAGATGAATCTGTAGAATTAACTCTAATACACAATATTAGTCAAATAAGTCCTATGTTATTAGGATTCTATTTCAGTGCACTAAACATTGATTATAGAGTTAATCCCCAAGTTGCTAGCTAACAGTCTTTTAAGGTGACATTTATTAGCTGAACGCTTAATTTCTTAACGTTCTGCTGCTAGAGTTTGTAATCTTTTTATTTATTGTTGAAAAGTAAAGAGTCAAACAGCAGTGCCGCTATGGTAAATTTGATAGTAGAGTAAAAAAATCGCAAGACTGAACAGTTCAAGAGTCGATTGTGAATCAAACTGGGTCAATTCTGACCTAGCTGATCACAAACTTTGTAAGATTGTGAAAATCTTTGCTTGTTATTCGCCCAACTACGTTTATATTTACTGTATATAGGATCTAACAAATGAACGTGAAAAGACTATCATTAACAAGCTAATATTAAGTGTTTGCCCAAATAACGGTGTCATTGTTAATATTACTAGTCATGTAATTACTGGTCAACTTCCACCTGTTAACTGACCGGCTGCTGTGATATTAGTTTGAAGACCTTACAATGACATCGTGTCGTTTATTACGAGTAACAACTAGTAGTGATAGATTGTCAGATATGTTAGCTGTGGAAAAAGCACAATGAAAACTCAAAGTGAGTTGACGAACATTTAACTTGTAATGTCATTGAAGATGAATGGTATAAAGGTTGTGAGCAATCCATTTGGCTATTTTTCACCAAAAGTTGATAAACTGAGATGGGGAATGTGTTAGCAATTGACTAAAAACCATAGAGTAGACAGCATATTCTTCTTCCTTCCAGAACCTTCAAGAACTTAGGAAGACGCTAGTAGCTCCGAATATTTTACGTGTTTTTATGAGGGTTCAGACTATTTTCAGTTTATATAACCGATCCTTAGAATTCTAAAAGAGTTGATTCAACTGCAAACAGGCGGAATGTTTCATTTGTGTTTTTTCTAGCAACAATGTATACATTTTTTGGGGGGCAAGTTTTGTATCCCGTATGACTTATTGTGCAGTAAATCCAAATAAGGCGTACGAAATAAGTTTGTGGACTGCCTCTAACGATGAAGTAAATTTTTAGAGTAGATAGAATGAAAATGATCCAATGTTGTCAAATTTCAACGTGATTCAATACGAGCTATAATTCAATTTCTGTTGGAATACATTTGTGTCATGTACAATATTTGATTTAAGTATGCTTAAATCGCTTGGTTGTAATAATTTCATAGTTGAAACATGAAATTATAGATAAAGAACTGTGTAGGTTTTCAAATGCAAATGGATTGCCACAACATGTCATCCTTAGTTTTGTATGTTATGTTTATGAGCTTTTATCTTACAACAACTGTTAGTGATTAGAATGTGATTTTTCA